CAGTGTCCCTGTGCTTCCTGACACCACTGTGGGACTGTAACAGTGTCCTTGTGTTTCCTGACACCACTGTGGGAGGTAACAGTGTCCCTGTGCTTCCTGACACCACTGTGGGATGTAACAGTGTCCCTGTGCTTCCTGACACCACTGTGGGACTGTAACAGTGTCCCTGTGCTTCCTGACAGCCCTATGGGACTGTAACAGTGTCCCTGTGTTTCCTGACAGCACTGTGGGATGTAACAGTGTCCCTCTCTTCCCCACAGCTCCCTGAGCCAGTGGGTGCACGCGTGTGACGCGCTGGATCTGCCGATGCTGCAGCGGGAGGAGCTGGACGCCTTCATCGACCAGCTCTACAAGGACATCGAGAAGGGTGAGGATCTGTGGGAATGCAGGGGCAGGACAGGGAGCCTGGGGATGCAAACTTTCCTGCCCTCCATCCCCTTCCATGGGGAGGGAAGGGTGCTTGAGAAATCACTCACACACCCGGCCCCAAAGCAGCGCTGGCTGGGTCTTAAAACCAAGACAGTGCATTCCACGTTGCTGCAAATCCCTCTGTGCTCCCATGTGGAAGAGCTGGAATGGTCTGTGTAAAGCTCTAACATCACCTCTCTGTGCTGCAGAGTCTGGAGAGTTCCTCAACTGCGAGGGATCAGGGCTCTACGTGCTCCAGAGCTGCTGTAAGTAACATGAGGACCGGGAGGAAAACTAGGAGTGAGGAGGGAAATGTCCTGTGCTAGGCTGGTTCACCTCTTCCTAAAAGCCTCTGGAGAAAGGGGTTTGTGCTTCCCAGCCTTGGGATGGAATGGGATGGGTGCTGCCCTGGAGCCTGGCTGCTCTCCCAGGGTCTGTGGCCCCTTGCCTAGCTGTGGAATGGTCAGTCCTGGCTTGGATGGACTCGGATATGATGTAGTTTCCAGGAGCCACTTAAGCATTTAGCAAAGAGACCGTCTTGCCCACAGGTAACCACAGCTGCATCCCCAATGCCGAGACATCCTTCCCAGAAAACAACTTCCTCCTGCATCTCACTGCTCTGGAGGACATCGAAGCAGGAGAGGTGAGACAGCAGGGCCTGGGTGGTGACATCACACCTTGGCATCATCCCTGTGTCCCCAACATCCCTCAATACCTCCTGTCTCCCGTGTTGTCCCAGCAGAGGAATTTGATCCCCGTCCCGTGTAGGGGCTGCCAGACCCCATTTCTGCCTGACTCTGAGAGGGCCTGGCACAAGTTGTGCTGCTCTGGGGTCGTGGGAAGTCATCCTGAGCCCAACCTGTTTCTCTTTGCTGGCAGGAAATCTGCATCAGTTACTTAGACTGCTGTCAGAGGGAGCGGAGCAGACACAGCCGCAACAAGATACTCAGGTAGGGGCTGCCTGGAGGTACCTGGGGGGGACTCCACACCCCTTTGCACCCCCAAACTGTCCATCTGGGCAGCACCCCCACCCTGGGGCCCTGGTGCGTGGCTGTATGTGAATTCTACATAAGAATTCCCTTCTTATGCATTGTAGCCCCGGGGACTGAGGATTTGGGCTCCCCCCTCTCCCTGCACCACTCTGCAGTTCGCTCCTGCAGACCCTTTGCAGCCCCCACCACCTTCCTTTTCCTTCTCTGCCCTTCAAGGGTAGAGGTTCCTGCTGGTGGTCACTGTCCCCGTGTCCCATCACCCCGTGGGGCTGAGAAATCCCCCTCCCCACCTGGAATACCTTCACCCCACCTGAACCAGCAGGATGGAACCCCCAGACTCCTCTGGATTTAACACATTTAGCCCCTTTCCTGGCTGCTCTGTCCCCGACCCCTGCCCAGCAGCAGTGTGGGCTTGTGCCTGTCTCAATGGCATCCATCTTTTTCCTCCTTCCTTCCCATTTTCCCAGGGAGAACTACTTGTTTACCTGCTCGTGTCCCAAGTGCCTGGCGCAAGCCGACGACGCCGACGTGACGTCGGACGAAGACGAGGAGGGCGAGGGAGAGACGGACGATGCCGAGCTGGAGGATGAGATGACCGACGTTTGATCCTGGCAAGAGGACAGGGAAGGGAAGGGACGGGAAGGGAAGGGACTGGGGGTTCCTCCCAGAGGCAGCAGCTTTCATCCAAGGAACAGGGTTGTGTTGTGGGGTCGGGTGGGCGGCCGGGCGGAGGTGCCGGAGTGGGGCAGCCGGAGGCAGGTCCTGCTCCCGCCTGTCCGTGTTGTCCCTGCGTGTGTGCGTGAGGCTGTCCCCGTCCTCCCTGTGAGGACAAGCTGTGAGCTGGTGTCCCTCTGCCACATCCTGCTTCCCGGAGGGGCTGGCTGGTGCTTGCAGAGGAAGCTGGAAGAGAGCAGGGTCCAGCCAGCCCCTCCTTGTGGCCACCTGCGAGGCTGCTCCGTGTCTGTGCCGGCCGTGGATGCGGAGGAGCTTGTCCTTCCCACCCCGCAGGGATGAGGGAATGTGTGTGTGTGTGTGTGTGTGTGTGTGTTTGTGCACGAGGGGAACTATTTAATGTCTATATAAGCACTATCTACGCACTACGGAGCCGAGGTCCTTATGTATCCTCCATTCCATGCCTTGGTGAGCAGTGAGGGGATTTTGCAGGGACAGGGACACCTTAGAGGGGGGCTCAGATCCTGAGTCCAGTGGGGAGAGCAGAGCCGATCCTGCAGGCACCTCCTTCCTGACTCAGCCCGTCCTTCCAACAACACAGCCCCAAGCAGTGATTCCAGGACCATCTGGGGATGGAGAATGGCCAGAGCATCCCAGCATCCCAGAGCTGACACGTGGTGTCATCCAAAACCCCAAAGACATTGGGAGCTGTCCCTCTGTCCGGCAGTGGGACGAGGATGTGCCCGAGCGGGAGCTGCTGTGCGCTTCCCCACCCTGAATTCCCACATGGAGACATCCCAGCACTGAGTGGCCCCATCCAGAGATGTCCTGGCACCGAGTGGCCCCACGTGGATGTCCCCTTGTCACCCATCCCACGCTGCCACCGACGAGGCCACGCCACGTGCTGCAGTGTCCCTGTCTGCGGACAACACGGCTCCCGGCGATGGACAGGCAGCAGGCTGGGGGTGCGCTCCGGGGTTATTCCCTCCCCTCATGGATTTTGGGGAGCTGTTTTCCCACCGCTGTGTCCGTGGCAGCTGGCTTGTGGGACTGAGGGTGACACACCCCTGACACTGCCATCACCGCCAGCCCTGACCCCGCTGCTTGTCCCCAACCGTCCCGGGGCCGCATCCCCTTCAGTGTTCGTAATAAACCGAGACTGGTGAGAACTGGGACCCTGTGGTTTGTACTGGTAAACTGGAGCGTGGTGGGTGACCCAGGGGCTGGTCCTGTGGGGACACAGGTCTGGGGATGAGGGAGTAGGCACCTGTGGGAGTGTGGGCTCTGGATTTGTGACCAGGGACACACACCTTGGGGACAAGTGCTGGAGGCTCTGCTGTGCTGCTGCTTCACCCCATGTCTGGGGTCTGGCCTGAGCACTGTCCCAGCTGCAGGAGGCGCCTTGGGAATTTTACTAGGAAAAATATTAGGGGATGAGATTTATCCCTTCATCCCCTGACTGCTGAAAGAAAAAAGGAGAAACTTCCCTTTCTCTAAAACATTCAGACTTCATTAGTTCAGACAAAAATATACAGACATGGGGCGAGCCCTGCTGGTCCAGACCAAGCCTGTGTCGCTCTCCCTCCCATCCCTGCCAGTCCTGCATCCCACCAAATCAGCAGCACAAGTTCAAATGTTTCCTGGGAAGCGCTGGCCTGCTCTGGGCCATCACCTCCCTCCCACAAAGTCACAGCAAAGGGTGCTCTCCGATCCCACCTGGCACTTGGCCAGCAGGAAGATCTCCCCGTTGCCGAATCCAGTGGGATCTCTGGAAGACGTTGGGACTCCAAACCTGGTGCTTAGGGGAAACTCCTGGGATCCACTGGGAAGCCCACGATCCGCCACAGCCTCCTGCTGCTACCAGAAGGTCCAGGGGGGCTGCATCATCTCGTAGGTGGGGATGCTGGTGACGTTGACGGGGATGGAGATGACGGCCCAGGGGAGCCCGTGCTGCTCCAGGGAGCGCCTGATCATGTACCTGGAAGGATAAAGAGGTGACAGGTGTTCCAGAGCCGCTGGATTTGGGAGACTTGAAGCCCAGCCTTGAGCATAAACCACGACTGGAACCATACAGCTCCAACTCAGCCATAAAGCTCCAACTGTGGATTAATCATGACTGAATCCACTCCAAATCTGTCCTGCAAAGCCCAGGAGGGACACGCTGATCGCTGGGACCCCGTTTTGTGGGGACAAGGCATCGCTTTGCCCTTCCCATGAGCTGTCCCACCCTTGGGGAGATGTGCCAGGGCACCCACCCGTCCCTGCCCAGCAGGAAGAGCGCAGGAATGTCGGCTGTGCGCCGGGAGCTGTCCTGCACCATCTCGATGTAGAAGCTGTCGTTGTCGTAGGCGTTGTCGGCGATGATCACGGCCAGCCCGCCGTGCTCCTGGATCACTCGGGTCTTGGACAGGAACGAGCAGCCCCTGGGGCACAGAGGGACAAAATTTCGGTGCCCGCAGGTAGGTGCAAAGCCTGGAAGTGCCAGGGCCTTGCCTGGAGACACCCAGCCCAGGGATTGTCTCTCCGATCGCGCGCCTCGCCCCAACCGCGCTCCTCCGAGTCTCTATTTTAGGCACAAGCCACCCACACTGCTAAGGAAAAATAAAATAGAATCACAGAATCATGGAATGGTTTGGGTTGGAAGGGACTTGGAAGATTATACAGTTCCAAACCCCCTGCCATGGGCAGGGACACCTTCCACTGTCTCAGGTTGCTCTGAGCCCTGTCCCACTTGGCCTTGGACACTTCCAGGGATGGGGCAGCCACAGCTTCTCTGGGCAACCTGTGCCAGGGCCACCCCACCCTCCCAGGGAGGAATTTCTTCCCAATATCCCATCTAAACCTCTCTCAGTGTGAACCCAGATGGTTTTTTTTCCACCATAGCAGAGGCTAACAGACACAAGATGAAGTGCTCTGGGGTAGGAACACCCTCGTGTTTTCCTCATTTACCCACGTGGAGAAGAAGCTGGAGGTGAAGGGAAGATGTGGCCATGGCACTGTGACAGTGCCATGGGCATCTCCCCTCCTGCCCAAAGGGTCCCCCTAAAAGCCCTGTGATGCCAGACGTACCCCCTCTCCACCAAGGCGATCTGGTCCTGGATGAAGACCCCATTGTTCAGCTCCCCACAGGCCTCCGGAGGATCCGCCGGGACCAGGTGGATCTGGTCGTACCTTGTGTTCTTTGAGAGGGAAACAGGCAGGGATGAGGCATCGGAGCTGCTTCCCATTCCCAGCCCCAATCCAGCTGTCCCTGCACTGCCCAGCACTGCCAAGGCCACCACTAACCCCTGTCCCCAAGTGCCACATCCACAGGGATTTGAAATCCCCCCAGGGATGGGGACTCCACCACTGCCCTGGGCAGCTGTGCCAGGGCTGGACAACCCTTTCCAGGAAGGAATTTTCCCAATATCCAACCTGAACCTCCCCTGGCAAAACTTGAGGTCATTTTTCCTCTTGTTCCCTGGGAGCAGAGCCTGAACCCCCCCCCGGCTCCCTCCTCCTGTCAGGGAGTTGCAGAGCCAGAAGGTCCCCCCTGAGCCTCCTTTTCTCCAGGCTGAACCCCCCCAGCTCCCTCAGCCTCTCCTGGTGTTCCAGATCCCTCCCCAGCTCCCTTCCCTTCCCTGGACACGTTTCAGCCCTTCAATGTCCCATATCCTGCTCATCTGGGGAGATTCTGAGCTTCCAGGTGCCCCATTCCAAGTGCCACACAGCCAGCCCAATCCCTGCCTCTGGAAGCCTGCTGAGGCCAAGGATGCTCATGGAAGAGCAATTAGCTCTATTTTTATCAAAAATCCAAATCACTGAGTCCCACAAAGGAGAAATATTGGGATGGAGGGAGCCAGAGTGACAAATTGAGTTTTAAATACTTACAAACACGCCACCAAAATCCTTGGCTGGAGTGGCAGTGAAGATGTAACGGATGTCCCCGGGACTGAGCACTTGGAAGTACAAGTATTCATGGATGCGTAGACCTGGGGGTGAATGGAGAGAGGTGAGAGGCAAGGAAAACCGCAGGGAAAATCCCTGAAAAAATGGGAGAATTCTCACTTATCGCTCCTGAACCACGGGGGAGGGAACACACCCTTTGGGATGTTGGGTCCTGGATGGGCCCGGGACCCAAAATGTCGGGTTTTGGGATGCTCCAAGGGGAGATACAACAGTTCTCAGGAGCTAAGAAGGGAGGGAGGGGAAGGGCACTGGGATTGGGGTGGACTGGGGTGTACAAGGGGAAGAGGAAAATGCAGCGAAGGGATGTGCACCTGGATTGGGATTCAGGAGGGGAAATGCAACGGGCTCAGGGTGCACCAAGGGGGAATGCAGCTGGATTGGGGTGCTGGATGGGGAAAAGCAATTAGGTCGGGGTGCACCGAGGGAAATGCACCTGGAACGGGACACAGGAGGGGAGATGCACCTGAATTGGGGGGCAGGAGAAGAACTGCACCGGGATTGAGGTGCAGGAGGGGAATTGCCCCCAGATCGGGATGCAGGAGGGGAATTGCCCCCAGATCGGGATGCAGGAGGGGAAATACACCCAGGCCGGGATGCAGGAGGGGAAACGCACTCAGACCGGGATGCAGGAGAAGAAACGCAATTAGGTCGGGGCGCAGCGAGGGGAAATGCCCCCGCATCCCTCCACGGGTCCAGCCAGTGAATCGCAACGGGGCCGGCATGCGGGGAGTGGAAATACACGGGGATCGCGGAGCACCGAGCAGGCAGGCGGCCGGCCGGGGGTGCGGGGGCCGGGTCCGGACGCGGGGTCGGGGGGTCGGTGCCGTGCGGGGCCCGTGCCGTGCCCCCCTCACTCACCGCGGGCCGTCCCGCAGCAGCCGCAGAGCCAGAGCCAGAGCCAGAGCCAGAGCCAGGGCAGCATGGCTGCGCCGCGCCCCGCCCACCGCCCCGCCCCGTGCCCGCCATTGGCGGAACCCGCCGCTCGCCTCGTTTCTATTGGTCCACACGGCCATCGATCAACCACGAGCCGGCGCGGGCAGCGCGCTGTCACCTCAGCGCGCGCTGCTAAATAGTGAGCCTTCAGTCTTTGCAACGTTGCCCTCTCACTCTTCCCCGCTGCCAAATAGTGATCCAGAGGCCCCGCCCCCGGGAAGGTTCTGGGCGTGCGCGGTGCATTGTGGGGTGGGGGCAGCGCAGCGGCCGCCGCGATGATGGTGAGTGATCCTCCCGTGCCATCCAGCGCCATCCAGCGCCATCCACGGGCATTCCCGCCAGGAACAACCCGCGGGGCCCCCGCTGCCCTCCGGGGAACGCGTCCCGAGCGGCTGCGGCGCGATGGGGCGCGGCGATGGGGCCGCCCCGCCGCGCAGGCCTGGGGTAGCCGGGATGGGATGGGGCGGGACGGCGGCGCTTCCCGCCGGGTCCAGGGCTGTCCTGGCGGGGCTGATCCCGCAGCTCCGTCCCGCACCCTCCCCTCCGGCCCCGAGTCCCTTCGGTTTTTGTGCCGCTCCCTTCGTTTCTCCCGGGGATAAGCAGTTCCTTTTTTCCATTGAGATCGCTGCTCGGGCGGGTGTGGAAGAGCTCCGTGCTTTTCCGTCCACAAAGCCTTCCCCGGGATTTAGGGATTGCAGAATAGGATTGGAAGGGTCTTCCAGAAACCCCCCAGTCCAACCCCACTGCCCAGGCAGGGTCACCTGGAGCAGGTGACCCAGGAACTCATCCACGTGGGTTTGGGATGTCTCCAGAGGGGGAGACTCCACACCCTCCCTGGGCAGCTGTTCCAGGGCTCTGCCACCTCCATGGAAAGTTCTTCCTCATGTTAAGGTGGAACTTGATGTGTTTTAGTTTATGTTCTGTTGCTGGGCACCACCAAAACGAGTCTGGGACCATCCTCTGACACCCCTTGGAGATATTTATATGGATTAATGAGGTCCCCTTTCAGCCTTCTCCAGACTAACCAAGTCCATCTCTCCTCATCAGAGGGGTGCTCCAGACTCTCTTAAGGGATCACTGAGTCCCTCCAGATCCATCTTAAGGACCCTTTCCTGTAGCTCCTTGTGGTTTTTATTCTTGTCACAGCCATGCTTTACTTTCCCTCTCTGTTCCAAACTGGTGCCTCCCCAATTTTGGCTCTGTTCAGTCTTTGTCTGGGCTCTGTCTGTGAGACAGTTGCATCGCTCATGGAATAGTTTGGATTGGAAGGGACCTTAAAGACCAT